GGAAATCTAAGGAAGTCTCGTTTCAGGCCAACAAGGAAGAAAAGGAATAGTCGAATAAAGTCGTTATTTTTTGTTTGTTTTTTCGCACAAAAAGTATTCTCGTCGCTTGATAAACATATAGTTGAGCCACGGTAGTCACATGGAATATTTAAACATGTTCTTCATTGACTTTTTGGGCCGTCAAGAGCCAGTCCCTTAGGAGCCAATGTGGTAGTTATACAGCTCTCAAATTTAATCAAAAATATCTTCATTTGTGCTCCGAAGATGAACGAAGGTCTTACGGGGTTGATACAGCATGGGGGTGAGTAATTAATGACTTAATTTTCATTTTTGGGTGAACTAACCCTTTAAAGTCCCTAGTAGTGTTGCTGACTGGACTGGGCGGAGTTACGTGACTACACACACGGTAATTATGTTTTAAGGTGAAAGTAAATTAACACACAGTGCACGGAAAAATTAATAGGATTCATAAACCAATATAACCTACATGGGTAAGAAATTACAGTCTGCTCCGATCAAACTTCCACTCTAATATAGATTATATTGAAATGTTCCTTCACTTAAAAGAGCTTATTTATCATAGAATCAATTCCTTACAATCTTAAACGTATCACAGAGTCACGTTTATCACCTATAGAGTGGGAAAGACAGTGGGTATTCAAGAACCATCTTGATTAGGGAGTTTCTGAGAGATAATATCACCTTTAAACATTTGACCGTATCACTCTAACACGTGTATCGTTCGATTTACATTTAAAGACAGAGTTTGGAATAACAAAGACATAGACACGGAGGCACCACTTGTCTCGTTCTCTTCAATTTACATTTAAAGACAGAGTTTCAGCTCCACGCTGATAGAGAAGACGAATCTGTTTGTCTTGATTTACATTTAAGAGAAAGCTTCATTTACACGCTGAGGGGAAAACAGATGTAATACTGTATAAAATGTTTGCGCTGGGATGAGTTCGGGGTTCATTCGCCGGTGAGCCCAAGGTGCTTCGTGTGCCTTGCCACTGCTAAGCTGTAAATAAACTTCATTTTTGAGATCTTCGACCACTTCATTTTTTTCTTACAATGGTAAAATTACGTCGGTTATAGGGACTGAATTTCGGTTTTCGATTATTTTTTGATTAATCACCCAGCCCTAGCTGGAAGTCAGTTGTAGTTCTTGGGTGCTTCTCATTTCTTATTTGTGCATCCTCGTTTCCTTTCCTTTCCTTGCGTCTCAGCTCCACCCCCTGTAGGACGCGAGGGAAGGAAGCGAGGAAAGGAAAGGAGGACAGAGGAATCGAATAAAAGCTTTTTTATATCCATTGGAATACTTGATCACTCGAGGCTCGAGCGTCACTCCACAGTGTCGATCAGCAGCGCTAAAAGGATCTGCCCTTATGATGTTGAAGTTATTTAATAAATTCATAATAAATAATAATAAAGATAGGCTATACTGTTGAAATATCTGAGATGTGTGGTTTATATAAACTGCAATGGTAAAGTATAAATTAAAATGATGAGTGACCGATGTGAAGGGGGAGGAGAATTTGCACGTGCGTCACGTTTAGTCAATATAACAGTTCCGCGTAGGATGCACCTGTGTATCCTCACTTATGACTCCTCAGGAAGCCTCCTCACTCCTCGATCCTCGACTCCTCACGGTGCAATTAGAGAATGGGCTATATGCACGCATAAGTTCCGCATTTGACGTAAGGATGCTCGTCCATTTCCGGTTGTGTAGATTAAAGCGGAGGAAAACTGGAGAAAACGGGTTTATGGCAGAGTCTTCAATATTTACTGTCCTCCCGTCTTTGAAACGAAACATACATACGTTTAGATTTTATATATAGTTATGTTTATTTAATATAATTTTAAAAAGAAGCATAAACACAACGAGGGGTGTCTGTTGTATCTGTTTTTGTGACTAACGTTTCATTAGTATAACCATGGAGTATAAAATTCAATATAAATTCTCGGTATTGCATTGGACTCTATGATCGGCGGAAATTATCGAGCATCCTTAATCCTTCACCGGAAATAACGCCGTGCATAGAGCATAGATTTTGTTTAACAAAGGTTAAGGCTCTATTTTTATGAATAGCTGTGTGTCTTCACTTACTATCACTTTACTATAACAGTTCTTTGTATGACTGTCTAGTGGCATGCGCGCTTGTACTAAACTAGGTCTTTGATTGACAGGTCTACTTTTCACGGTAAACGCACAACAAAAGAGCTGCTTTAATTTTAAGCATATGTCACTTAAACAAAATAATTAAAAATCCCTTGAGTGTAAGGGGTTAATATTATAAATGGACAGATGTATGATTGTTTGGAAAAAAGTCAGTCCATAGTTTTATGACCGTTAGTTTAGCCTGGTTGTTTTAGGTTATCCTCAGACTGACGAAAAACGAGTTCCCCTCATGTCTAAAAATACATAGGCTACTGTCAAAAATAACTAATTGAAAATATTTAATGCGAGAACATAAAACAGTCAGTTAATAATTACTAAAGTCAACAGTTAGAAAATAACTGTTGATCCTCCGCCGCCAATCTCTGTCATCCGTATCCCCTTACAAAAATAACCTACAGGAATCCTGCAGGATTTTCATTTTTTCTACAGGAATCCTGCAGGAATTATAAAATCATGCAGGATTTTTCTCTTGTGTTGCACTGCTGTCCTGCAGGAAGTTTAAAATCCTGCAGGATTTTATAAAAAATCTGCAGGAATTATAAAATCCTGCAGGATTTTTCTCTTGTTGCACTGCTGTCCTGCAGGAAGTTTAAAATCCTGCAGGATTTTATAAAAAATCTGCAGGAATTATAAAATCCTGCAGGATTTTTCTCTTGATTTAAATAAATAAATAAATAAATAAATTCACTGTGTTGGATGTTCCTGCATGTTTCTGTTGTAATAGAGCTCATTCTAATTAGGAATGTCATGTACGTACTACGCCTGAAGAAGAAGAAAAAGCAGATTTCTTGCTTATTTAATTAATATCAATATGTAATTCTATAATAAGAAAACAATTGCCTAAATTACTGTAATTTGCATATTATTCTGAATTTAGCAACCTATTATATTCTGTGTCCATCGCCTTTTTGTAGCTGCTGGAACAGGTGCCTCTTCATTTAAGTACACTTTATACTCCATTTACATCCTTCAAAAAGAAACAAGTTAGTGTTATTTCTTTGTAAATATTATAAAGATTTTTTTTGTATTATCCTTATAGGTTAAACCAAATTGTAATATGAGAGAATTTTCTAAAAATGACTACAATAACGAATAGCCTATACAATTAGGGACATTGCAGATGTTTTTTACAAGGCTAATTTTAAAATAAAATAAAAGTTTTGTCTCGAAAGACTTGTGTTAAAGAATCTGTCTTTCACCCTGAAAAATACGCTCGTAACAAGAAGAACCGGTAAATGAATCTTTCTAGAGATTCGAATCGATCAATTCACTGAGGTGACGTGTTTCATTGAAAACACCGGACGAGACCGTGAGAGTAACATTGTTGTCATGGATACAATCACGTAGGCCTAGCCGATTCATCATCCAACTGTCACTTTGTCTTGAGAAGGTAAGTCCGCCTTTTTTATTATATAATTGTATCGTTATAATGCTTAAAATTACTGTTGTGCTATACATTTCTAAATTAATGTGTATTTGTAACACTAAAACGTATGAAAACGGGTTTTTTTCTTCGTTTTTTTCTTTTTGTTGTTGCTTTGATACATTATAGGCTTATAACGTTAGGCCGCCTATCAAAATATTTTTTAATAAATTACTATAAAAAAATATCTTTATCTGTTCTTAACATATCACATTACTTTGTTTTGTATTTAATCGGTAATAATTGATATTGTACCTTTTGGTTACCAGAAAAGAAGTAAATAATCTGCACCGGACGAGACCGTGAGAGTCGCTGGCTTGCCGTTAAAGGTACATTGTTGCCATGGAGACAATCAGCTGAAGGCACGATGAATGTGAATGATGAGCCTTTAGACTTTTGTACACCTTTGGATTAATATATATTTTATTAATGTATAAATGTATGTATGTTAAATATGGAAGTAAATATGTAGGCCTATGTAACTATATTTATTTATTTATTTATTTATTTATTTATTTAGAAAATGAACAAAACATGGGTTCTGGTGGAATGGAGAGAGGAGCCTCCCACCTATGATATTGTCCCTAGAAAGGACATACTGAAAAAAAAGTTTGAACCTGGAGATGTTGTGGATGTGGTTTATGAAGAGGAAAGTTCCCCAGCCACAGTTATAGATATTGATGGTAAAAGTTCAGTAAACAAGACTCAGTCATAATATAGAAGATATGTGTTTCCTACTTGAGTATTTTGTCCCTTTAGAGAGCAAAGAAACCCTCAGGAGGAGGATGTTCCGGCTAGAGGGGAAAAGAAAAAGTCAGCCATGTTTGCAAAATGATGCAAAAAGAGTGGCAAAGAAAAAGAAAACTTACACTCCAACTCAGTCCCCATCTCACTCATCATCTGATCAAGAGCCTCTGGTCAAACATCAAGTAATACATCTTTTAAATACTTAGTTTTGTCATTATGCTTTTTTTGAAAATCACAAATATTAATATTGTGTGTCCATCTTTAGGTCATCCGCAGAAAGAATAGTATTTTAATGCAGGAAATAAACAGCATGGATAGTCAAGTTGGAGAGTCGTCAAGCCGAGAAACTCAACTTGAGAAAGAAATTCTCCAATTAAAAAAAGAAAATGAAAATCTAAGAGCACTCAATATATCTCTGCAACAAGGTATTTTTTCATATGTCTGTATTTCTGTTGATATATCTATCAATTTATCTGTCAGTGTGGTTGTCTGTAATCTTTTTTCTTTTCTTTTTTTTTAAGAAATTCTTCCAATGCTCAAGGGTACCCGGACCCCTCTTACTGTGTGTCAACAACCACAACCACATGGTTCAAGCGAGAAGAATCTGCCTGAAAAGGTGAATAAAAATATATTTGTTTGTTTATATAGGCTATATTCATGTAGTGTTGTGCAGAAGTTGTAGAAGCATGTTAACTTCTTCATGTGTCATTTAACTTTTGTAACTTAATACAAACTTGATAATTTTGTGTATGATTATCCCCTTGTCTATGAAACAGCTGCCACACTAAAGCAAAATATAGCATTTTTTTTGTAGAAGAATCGAACAAGCCTCATACTTTTGCACAGTATGTGTAGTTAATGTTGCATGCTTTTAGATAGTGTCCCTAACTTTTTTTCTTGACAGACACATGGGCTAGGTATTAGTGAAAATGTCCTGACAAGTTGTGGACGGGGTGGCACATCATGTTCTGCCATGGTTAAAGATCTGGCGGTGGCAGTGTTCGGGAGAGACGTGTTGGCCACACATGGGCTGTCAGGAAGAGCTGGCAATGCCAACAAAGACACTATACCAAAGCCAGCTCTTGACCAGGACAAAGTTGTGATGATCCTGGGTAAGTAACATGACCTTCTCTTTTTCTTTACACAAACATGATGTTGCAGTTAAAATGCAAAATTATTATCATGTTTTCACAATTACAATTGCATTTACAGACACAGTACAGAAAAAGTTTCCGGATGTTCCGAAAAAATTCATCAGGGCAGCACTGAGAGAGAAGTTAAATGATGAGCACAAGTTACGAGTAAGGTAATAATTTGTCACACACACACACACACACACACTCTCTCTCTCTCTCTTCTCTCTCTCTCTCTCTCTCTCTCTCTCTCTCTCTCTCTCTCTCTCTCTCTCTCTCTCTCTCTCTCACACACACACACACACACACACACACACACACACACACGTTTTAATCCCCCCCCCCCTGTTTTTTTTCAGGAAACCAGTTTAGAGGCTTCAACTAGAGCAACATTTGGCTGCATGCATGTGAATTGGACTCCGCTTCTCTCTGCGTTGACAGTAAAATAAATAAAATAAAAAATTTGTGATAATACATTGTTTGTTGTGAAGTTATTTCCCCTGCGTGATTCCAGAAGAAGACAACTTGGAAAGTCCTGCATAATTGCATGTCCTGCACAACAGTCCTACAGGAAGTTTGAAAATTATATTTTAAATCCTGCAGGATATAATTCCTGCAGGATATAATTCCTGTGTGTTTTCCTTCATAAAATTCCTGCAGGTATTCCTTCAGGAAAATGAGCTGAAAATCCTGTAGGAAACCTGCATAATATTCCTGCAGGATTCCTGTAGGTTATTTTTGTAAGGGTCGTAAACATTTCTCAGAAAACTCGACGTTTTCTAACAAAATTATATTTTTCAATGAAAAAATAAGTACATAAAACAAAATAAACACTTACTGGCCTGAAAACGGTGTGTTTGAAAAGGATAAACATACTCACAGAGTCCGTTGCTGTAGACTTAGCTGTAGGCTGTGTAGACGATGCTGAGATCACTCACGCGCAAAGCGCACCGTCATAAAAACGTGTGCACGCGCGTGAAGGTCTTGATGTGGACCAACGGTTGCGCAGATATTATTTATTTAAAAAAATAGAAGCGGGATCGGCAAAATGGTTCATCACGGTTCCTCCACCGATCTCCGGAGTTGTGCATGAAAGTGGCTATTCATCCCGCGGCCCGCCGATGGTTTACCCACCAAAGTTTTTTGTTGTGCAGGGGAAAATCCCCTCCCGATACTTTGCCGCTGGTGCCCTCCAATTGCCAACGTCGGCAAGACGTTCAGTGCTATCTGGGATGGAGTATAAAATTCAATATAAATTCTCGGTATTGCATTGGACTATATGATCGGCGGAAGTTATCGAGCATCCCTAATGCTTCACCGGAAATAACGCCGTGCATAGAGCCCATTGAGATGTCCTTCAAGATGGCTGAGCTTGATCGGTTTCCGGGTCATAGGAGGGAGGATGGAGGGGCGAGGAGACGAGGAGGGATATTGAGAAGCACCCTCTGTGTTTCTCTTTTTTCTGTACATGTCCTTCAGTGATTCTGCTTGTTAACAGCAGGTGTTCATCGTGTCTTCACTCACCTTTTTTCATTCATTCTAAGTGGACTATATTGTGAACTAATGTAGTGAATAGTGACTGTGAGAGTCGACTTTGAGCGCTGTTGATTCACAGTATATTCATGGCTTAGTTGAAAATAAAATTACCCAGAATGCTTTGTTTTCTAAGGTATATTACAGTTTTAGGTATATTTTATATAGGTATATTTACTGTCAGAATTTGGCCGTTCTGTTACAGCAAGTTTTAATACATTTGCTGTTACTACAATGATTTTGTAAATGTTGTTCAGCATCCAAATATTGATAATGTGGACACTTTCGTGCAGACAGACATTTGATGGCGTGTACAGACACGTGGAATGACACGGATGTTAATGGGGTAGACATACACGCATACACGTGGATGCACCGTCGCGGATAGCTCAAAATGCGTCGAGATAACACGCCACTTGACTCGAAATTGGCGTATATGTTTGCGCAAAAGTCATGATGTCATGTTGATGTGGAAGTTACAGTAATTTGTCTTGGTGTGATTTCTCACTTTTTGCAGACAATATAAAGGCAGATTACAGTAACTTCAAAATAGTCTTCAAATGTCAAGTTTGAGTTTAAGATTTTTTTATATTTAGATAAATTTATAAAAAAAACATTTTTTAGAAAGATTTCCTGTGTCCTACTTAATTTATAATTTATTAAGCAGCCATTTAGTTTTGTTTAAAACAATAAAAGATACATTTGGCACAAATGAATGAAAACATTTTCACTCTTCTCTGAAAATAATATTATAGATGAAAAGTTTTCCAATTTGTAAAAGCGTATGTATGACATGACCAGCTCAAAATCCCCTTTAGAAATCCTAATCAGTGGGAAATTCTGTGTGCATCTCCACCTCGGCTCCGCCCCAAAATAACCAAGATATGGAGTTTGCCATGCATGCCTAGTTTTACTATGAATGCCACAGAACTTTACACACAAATTGACAGTTTTATGGCATTGCTAATGCTATCTCACACTAATTTACCCTGTTAAAATTAAATCTGGCCCCAAGTGTGTAAAAAGGTAGATACTTTTCGTGTAAATAGCTTATTTACACAATAGCCTCTGAGGAAGGTTGGCTAGTGTTAACAGACTGCATTATTTATTTTGCCATGTTTTGTCGACTCACCCAGTCTCTCCAGTAAAACAGTTGTATTGGCTGAAAGTACTCCAGCAAACACTTGACAGATGTAAACTCCTTTGTCCTCAATTCTGACACTCTTCAGTCTGAGAGAGAAGTTTCCTTTGGGGATTTCATCAGTGAAGAACTCAACTCTGTCTCTGTATTGATCATCTTGTGGAAAAGTCTCATTGTTCAGGAAGAGCAGAACCGGAATATCTTCATCTTCATCTGTTTTACTCCATGAAACCTCTTCAATGTGTTCAGGTTTGATGTGAGAGTCGATAGAGCAGTTCAGAGTGACGTCCTCACCATCATATGCAGACATGGAGCGACTCGATCCTGATACCAGCAGACGCTCTGAAAGAATAATGGTTTAACATACACATAAAATACCACAAAGAAAAAAGGCATTTGATTGAACTTTTCAACAGAATTGAAGTGGCTTTCACTCACCAACATCTTTTATTTGAACCTCAGTCTCTCCTGAATCCTGCTGACTGTAAACTTTACATGTGTAATTTCCCTCATCTTCAGCTGTCAGATTGTCCAGACGGAGGGAGAAGTTTCCATGTTGAATCTGATCAGTAAAGAAATGAGCTCTGTCCTGATAATCCTGCTGCTGGACCTCTGGTCGACTCTCACCTTCTAGAAACAGATGAACCAGAGTCTCTGAGTCTGTTCTTCTCCACTCCACCTCCAGACCCTTCACTGGTAAAGGTTTATCAACAAAACAAGGCAAAACCAGTGAAGATCCCAGAGGAGCAACCAGAGGAGCAGATGGACCTCGCACAGTGAAGCCTATAGAGAAATAACAGAGAAACTGATCGCTTTAATAAATGAGAAAGAAAAACTCGAAGACTATTTCCGCGTTTCAACGTGAAGTGAAAATACGTACCATCAGCGACTACCAGGAGTATTGCTACAACAATACACTTAACGTACATGGTTTACACAAAAAAGGAGCTATAATAAAATCATAATTATCATGAACAAGAGTTTTTGCCTGCAGTCTTTCACACAATGCCTCGTCTTAACTTTCGCTTTCGCGAGGCATTGTGAGATTTGTATATATACAAATCAATAACAGCAGATAAACTAAATTTAAAGTGAAAGTGAAAGGGTTAAGAGCCCAACTAAAGCAAACACTGATCGCCATAATTTGTGATTTTGTCCTTCAGTGATTCTGCTTGTTAACATCAGGTGTCTTCAATAATGCTCAATCATCACTAAATTAATCACTTTATCTCATTAACTTTAACACTCTTGAGTGTTAATTTAACACTCATATCTGCATCATATCTTTCAACTGAAAGCAGGTGAAGGTGATTTACTACTAATCAAGGAACCGGTTTTACTGACGAGATGCACATAACATTTGATTTATTTTTGTTAAGGAAAATACAATTTACATGTATGTGAAATACGTATTTAATTACTTTTCAGCATTTTGTAATTTAAATACTGCCCATCTCTGAAAGCAGAAACAGGTACAACTTTTACACTGTGGAAAACCAAAGAAAGGCGAGCCGAGCAGAGTCAAGTCGAGCTGGGGAAAAGCACCAATAGATTAAGCCAGGATTAGGCCCAAATTTAATTTGGACATTTAAGTAGCTTTAAATGTGCCTTAGAAAAACACACAGGCTACTGGTGTGCATCACCGAACAATGGCACTGACATATTTTAAGTATGTCAGTGCAAGTTGCTGTCAGTTAAAACAGCTCAAACATGCATTTTAGTGCGAGACTATCTTAAGAGTAGTCTGTGAACCCCGGGGGTATCGATTATTATCATGTTACATGTTTGCCAACAGGTCTTCTAACCCTAATTGCCATGTATTAGACATCATCATATTCCAGAAGAACAATATCAAGATTCATCAGGCTCAGACTGTGAAAGAAGGGTTGTGAGGAGCATGAAGAATTATTTTCACACTAAATCGGCTCCTCATGAGTCCGGATCTTAAACTCATTGAAAGTCATTGAGAGTGCTGGACTCTAATTGCATCGTCAATACAAGATCTTTACCAAAAATGCACATCTTGATGGAAATAAAAACATGTGTTTCCTTTCCTTATTTCCCAGAGAGATTTTTTTTGTTGTTAAGATGTGTTGATAATGCAACTATCTTGTCTTATGAATATTACGTAAAGTGATGATGTCTGTGTGCTGACCAATCATATGGTCTGAAATGTTACTTTAATTATAGATTTACCTACCCAATTGCATTGCTATTGTAAATTTAGGAAAATACTTTTCAGCATGTGAAGAACTTACCAACAACTTTTAAATGAACCAGTTTCACGAAAGAGAGCAGAGGTGATGTAGGTTTATTCATATTTTTCCACTAGGGCTCATATTATTGATTGAGGTTAATTAATCTTCATTGTATATTATTGTTAGATGACAACAGATCAATTAGATAAAACTAAATGACAATCTTCTAGATGAGCATGGGACGACTGAACACTTTAAGCAGATTTTTTTTTTTTCAAAAAATGATGAGCTTGAAGACTTCAATAGAAAGCATTCTCTGAACATTTATTATCGTATGGCACACACACACACACACACACATAGACTAAATTCAGACACTTTACAAAATGATTTGTAATACATAAATGTATTTGGCAAATCCAATTTATCAACTTCAGTGTATAGCTGAATACAGTACCCTGAGACAATATCAAAATAAAAAGACAAACATAAGCAGATCCATTTTGATTTGAAAGTAAAAACAGCCTGTCCATAAAAGCTGATGTCTAATACTGGTGCAATAACCACATAAACATTTACAAAACATATGAAACTCCGTTAAGGAAAAAATCAGTAGTTTCTAACACAGAAAGCGAAATGTCTCAGGACAGCAGCATGTGTCCAAATTATAATCTTAGCCGCTCTATTTCATCAGAAACGATCTTGAAACAGGGCTTTAAATGTAAAATAGCGAACTTATCCTTCAACTAAATACTCACATTGTTTAGAACAAAATACATTCACAAAATCGCTGTACCGAAATCTGAAAAAACAAAACAAAAACATTTTGTTAATAAGAAGCATAATTTTTAATACTGCCATGGTTTACTCTTGAAATGATTCAACAACCAGTATAAAACTGTCCTACAGTGCAACAGAAAACAACACATTTCGAAGTCTTCAGTCAAACTGAGTTGGTTTTTACCCCAGACGAACTTCTCTTTTACAGTCGGAGAGGGAAGTCAGTCGCACGAGAAATGTGGAAGAGTCCGATTCTCAATCACTGTGTCTGTGAAAGAGCAGAATCAGGTGCGGACAGATTCTCCATTTCATGAGTCTCTGCTGAGTCCTGTGTTTAAAACAAGATATTGTTATTCAGCAACTACACACCTGAACTCTGAGAAGATGTCAAACCTTGCAGATTTCACACATAATTATTGCATTACCCTGAGCTGACGGCTGTGTCTTTGATGTGTGTTCTTTCGATTGTGTGTAAATCTGATTTAGAAAACACAATTACAGATTTAACATTGATATATGCAGTTGAATGCACATACATAGGCCTTTGTTGTGATTCCAAAGAATCACCACAAATAAGGAGAGAACGAATACATTTACATTGATGCAAACGGCACTTTATTACACATTATTCTTTGAATTATGTGCAACCTGCAGACAATACAGACGCAACACACATACACACAAGGAAGGACTGACAGGGACATCACACCTTCCCCCATAAAAAAACCCTCTGTAATTACAGGGTAAACCCCACAGGAAGCTCCATGTATCCAAGCATATCGAGGTCACTCTGACCCTGTATCAGAGCACATGTCCTTCGCTACCGTACACTCACTATTTCTCGACCTGGAACCTAGAAAAGAACACAATAGACCCCTTTTGCGCCGATGTCACAGTTGCGTCACGGTGCTAGCTGGAGGCAAAATAAAGTGAAAACTGGAGGCGGCCAATACAAACCAGCACAGATTCGGCTACATAATAAGGAGCTTAAATAATTGTTACTATTATTAAATGTCATCTTGTTGTGTTGTTTGGTGCAAGAATTCATGAAAAAATTAATAAACTTTTATTTCTAGAAAATATTCACATCATTAAAATCGCACTGTAATGTCACTCTTTACATTGTCGTGGTCTCGGCGCTGACTCGGCAGAACTGCGGATCGTACACACAAGTCTTGTACAGGACCATATAGGCATCTAAAGATTTATAAGCCCTCAGTTTCTCTTTACGATCGGTTTCTCTATTAGGTAGGTGTAGAAGTTAGGCCACTCAACCGAGGTAACGTAACGTTAATCCTGTCAGATTGCCCATGCATTGAGTGAGCGTGTAGGCGGCTACGGGTCGGCCAATCTGGTTCCGTCCGTTAAAAATAACTTTTGGAAATAACAATCGCGGACCTGGACACTGAGTGACCTTACACATTAAGATAATATCGGATTTTCTCCAGTCATTGTTAAAAAAAACAAGCTAACAATCCTTGCTAACTAGCGTTAGTGAAGCGGCCAGATGGATCTTTCTGCCTCCACCTAAGCTCCGCCCACAAAAAAACGTCACCATGTTTACCAACTGTAAAAGGGTCTATAAAGACAATACATTAACTCTCAAGACACAGGTGCCCGGGACAATGCGTCCGCCAAAACATTTTCAGTTCCCTTTATATGGCGAATCTCCAAGTTATAAGGTTGTACGAATAATGACCAGCGCATCAATCTCTGATTAGGATCTTGAAGGGTCGTCAAAAACGTAAGGGGATTATGATCACAATTAATCACCCACCATCCCTAAGAAACACATCAACTCACGCTTCGTACAGGGTGGAGGATACTTACTGATGGCCTCAATTGTTGCATCTACTAGTCCATAGATATGTATATAAAGGCTAGATATCTCGTCCACGCTGCTGGCCAATGGAGATCGACGTCTGCACCTGGCGGCCATCTTGTCACAGGCAGCTCGCTCACTCGTAACATTGTGTTAATGGTACATGTACTATTTAAATGACCATAACTTGCTTAATTTATACCGATTTTCAAACGGTTTGGTTTGTTATAAACGTCAGAGAGGTAGTTATGACACTGCATACTTATGAATAATAAGTGTATAAATAAATAATCATCCAGTTAATAACGTTTGTAAGAAACCAAACCGTTTGTAAATCCGTCGAGATTTCAACGAGATAAGAGTATTTGAGTATTTTCTCTTACATCAGCTTGCCTGTGACAAGATGGCCGCCGGTGATGACGATAGAAACCAGTGTTGTAGTCGAGACCACCTCACTCGAGTCCGAGTCGACACCGAGACCATAGAGAGTCGAGTCCGAGTCAAGACCGAGTCCATAGAGAGTCGAGTCCGAGACCAGAGACGGTCGAGTCCGAGTCAAGACCGAGACCAGTGAGGGTTGATTACCTAATTTACTTTTGTTTACTTAGAGAAATCCTTTTTTTTTTTTTTTTTACTGAATTTACTTAGAGTTTAAAAAATATGATCATTTTAGGGTAAAAAGGCCACATAGTGGGTGGTGTTAAAAGTAATTTTATTACAAGTTGTCATGCGCAGTTGCGCACTAGAAAATCACCAATCACTGGGCGTGTCAATCAATTTTTAAGAAATATTTTATTAACATACATTTAATCATGAAAAATATTTTGAATTGAACTCGAGTGGACTCGGGAATAAGTCCGAGTCCTAAAAAAAAAAAATGTTCGAGTACGAGTCAATTCCGAGTCCAAATGCACACGAGTCCATGACAAGACCAAGACCATTAAAATATGGTCTCGAGACCGAGTCCGAGACGAGTCCGAGTCTCGAGTACTACAACACTGATAGAAACTCCGCCTTAAGACATCTAGCCTTTATATAGATATCTATGAACTGGTCGAACAATGCCATGCCCAACGACCTTGCCTAGATACGTCACCGTGGGCTGAACGAACTCACACTTCGCTGGGTTTACAGTGAGCCGAGCCTCTTTCAACCGATCGCACAAAGCCTGAAATCGGAATAAATGTTCCTCCCATAAATCACTATACACGACTAAATCGTCCAAGTAAACTGCGCACCCCTCAAGCCCAGCTACCACCTGATTCATTAACCGTTGAAATGTGGCCGGAGCATTTCGCAGTCTGAAACTCATCACATTATAGGAATATGCCCCATCTGGGGTAATAAAAGAGGCGATTTCACGATCACGTTCGCTCAACGGGACCAGCTAATATCCTTTTAACAAGTCAAACTTGCTAATATATTTCGCTGTACCCACCCAATTCACGCAATCTTCTCTAAGTGGTAGCGGAAACGAATCTGGCTTCGTAATTGCATTTAATTTTTAATAATCTGTACAGAATCTAGATGTCCCATCTTTTTTCTTTACTAATAAACAAGGAGATGACCAACTTGAGAGTGATGGAACGGCTAGATTATTAACAATCAAATACTCAACCTCCGACTCCAGTTGTTTCCTTTTCTCCCACGGTACGCTATAGAGAGCCTAAGTCCCGCCCCTCCGCTTCCGGCTCATGGGACCTTATTTCGGAAAAAAATATGAATGGTAGTCAATGGCGAGAGACAACTTATCTTTTTATTCCGTCTGAACTGTGCCCTGAATTACACATATGATGTTTGTCAATTTAAAAGATAATTCTGAAAGTCAAAAACGTCGCAGTTTGTCATAAAACAGAAGAGTAACATTTAGTTTTATGTGAAAATTGCTCTATGAACTACATCTCCCGGGAAGTGAAACAACGAGCGAGATCCGCTGCTTGTGTGTGTGAAGTCTAGTACAAAACACTCAGGTACGACGGCGAAACGTTACGATTATAACGTAAGACTATAGAAACAATGACAGACATTAGCCTCAGTAAAGTTAGCTTCATTCATTGGGAGAAAATGTGCGCCTTTGGGGTTTGTAGTCTTTGTAATTACATATTTTCACAGTCTTATACCTCAACGGTTTCACATCAAACTGCGACTTTCTTTACTTTAAAATGCATCTTTTAAATTGACAAACATCATATGTGTAATTCAGGGCACAATTCAAACGAGATCAAAATATGTGTTGTCTCTCGCCATTGACTACCATTCAATACTTTTCCGTAATAAGGTCCTATGGTGGTCTACCGGAAGGGGAGGGACTTAGGCTCTCTATAAAAGCGCTGACGTATCAGAGGGGAATCACCTATGTCAATATCATGCTGTACTACATGCGTCTGTGAAGGGACATCAGAAAACATGGACGAATGTTCCTGAATTAACTTAGCCAACACAAAACGCCTTTCAGTAGGAAGATGTTCCAGAAATGCTGACAAATCTCTCAAAGTTTCCGAATTACTTAACCGAGGACACAGAACACAGTCTTCAGGTTCAACGGCCTCCTCATAATCGATCGACGGCAACCCATCCATTGATGAGCTCTGATCTGGACAAAGCAACGGACTCGGTTTCGTGAAATGTCCGTCCTTCCCGTACATAATAAGACTTTAGCAAATTCACGTAACATACCCGAGTTTTAGTTCTTCTCTCTGGAGTACTGATGACATCATTTTCATCAGATTCTCGTCGTAAAATAACGTAAGGACCGGCACACCTAGCTTTAAACGGAGATGAAACCATAGGCAACAAGGCCAATACGATCATACAATCGTTTCAGGTTCCAGGATCACCATTTCACCGCTTCAAAAAGTCGTCTTTTAAAACCATCCACATATTCTGTCCACTTTTTCGCTGGTTCAGTAGGCACCCATCCATCTCGCACAACCGCTAACGGCCCACGAACGATATGCCCAAAAACGAGTTCATTAGGGCTAAACCCAGTGCTCTCCTGAGTCACTTCTCTTGCCGCTAACATAAGCCACAGCTTATTCACAGCTATCCGTATCGACAAGACACCTCCAGAACCGCCATGCCGAATCAGAGCAGAAGCCAACCAACCAACAAAAACCCAGACAGCTTTTGAAGAGCACGAAGAACCTGCGCACCGGTGCTCCCAATCACACCACAACCTGCAGACAATACAGACGCAACACACACACACACACAAGGAAGGACTGACAGGGACATCACACCTATATAAGAGCTGTATTGAATAAAAATATGAACTTACTTAGATGTAACATCCTTCCCTGTGTGACAGGAGACATTAGAGAGAGAGAGAGTTGTTTAAAATGTTAATAATTAAGGGAAACGCAGAATCACAGTGTAAACCAGTCTCTGTAAGGAGTATGTGAGTGTTAGTCTCATTTTACCAGCACTGAACCTCCTTCATTTCAATAACGGTTTGAATCTGTTACAAATTATAGAAACTGGCAAATAAACCAGTGACCCATCAGACCCACTCCTGTTCACTGTCATATTAGGCTTGAGTCAAATATATAATACACTTGATTCTGTGGCGAACGAATAATTTGGGGTTATGAGCCATTACGTAGGCTACTTTTGATGACTGTAGCGCCACCATCAGGCCGATCGGAGCGAGTCTTGGTGACGCTGCCGCTGTGAGAACCGCCATCCCTCAAAGTATCAAAGTTTCTGCCTGATCACTTTAGGAGAGAATGATGATCATGGGAAATTTAGGCACTTGAATCCCTAATAACAATAATAAAATAATAAATAAAGATACTTACAGTAAGCGTGCATTAGTAAAATCAGCCAATACAAGGCAAAGACACATTCGGAAGGGAAGACGATGAGTCTCAGATCCTTCAAGACGCGCTCACCGTTACCTTTAAAATGATAGAATAACATTAGTGAAAGGAAGATGAACTGGACATCTGAAAGCAACAAGTGAAGCAGATTTTAGTAGTTTTTTATGTGTAATTAGATAAAACTGAGTAATGTTAAAAGATTTGTATAATATAATATAATATTTTTGGTTTATGTACTTACGTGCTTTGAGGATCAGTTCTGCTGTCAGTGTAACAGAGTTCAACAACACAAGACCAACTGCTCCAAACATGTACATGATGAAATTACAGAGGACCACTAGAACACACACACACACACACACACACACACACACACACACGCACACACACACACACACACACACAATATCAAATAGTTGCATTAATTAAACTGAGCTCTCATCAATGCAATATTAAAGAGCATAAATACAATACCATTTTTAAATAAACTTTATTGTATTTATGCTAATTAGGATTATTTAATTTTAATTAGGATTCATTAAGATTCATCAGTGTATAATTACATGTATTTGATCGTTGTTGGTTCGTCTCAGTCTTTTGTTGTCGTCTCTGGTTTCCTGAATGTTCTGCCCGTGTTAAAACAAAACTGAAAACTGATTCAAAGCCAAAAGGATGAGAAGAGATCAATCAATCAATCAATCAATCAATCAATCAATCAATCAATCAATCAATCAATCAATCAATCAACCAATCAACCAACGTATCAATCAATCAATGTCTCAATCAATCAACCAATCAATCAATGTATCAATCAATGTATCAATTAATGTATCAATCAACCAATCAATCAGTCAACGTAACTTTTTCAGTGCTAATGTTTCACCGCGTGTCTTCAGTAAATCCTGACAGCTGCTCTTTAATGCCTGTGTGTCAATGTGATATCAGTTTTTTCTTCTTAATAATTTTTCAAAATTCAATCACAAATACGGTTCTTGCTTTTTCATTATATTTGGAGTGTTGATTGTGGGACAAATTAAAGTGATTTAGCATAAGGCTGCAACAACAAACAAACAAACAAATAAATAAATAAATGAAGGAATCTGATTACTTTCAGAAACACAGTTCAGTCTCGTTACAAAAGCACCAGTTGTGACCAATGAAGTGTTCATTGAGAAATTTAAACAATGTGCAGTTTAGTAAGCACAAATTCTAAAGGATTTATCGGCTTTATATAAGTTTAATTTATTAATTAATTTCCTGTATAATAATGTCAATAATTATTTATACATTTTACATTCAAACAGCCTAAAACATTTTAATGCTTTAATTTGCTAATTTGCTTATATACAGTACAACATAAACATCACAGTAATGTCATTTCTACTTCTTAGCAGCATATTTTTCTGCTCTTTTATAAATAAAGTGTGGGGCAATAAAGGACACTTAGTATTGTAAGTCAGTGATGGATAGTACCTGTCACACAGTATTCAAAGACCACGACCATCTTCAGGACTTCCAGAAATAAAATGACGCAGATCCATCCCAAGTAATCTGATGATTAAAAAAAAGCATTTCTGATCAGCACATCTCTTACAAAACACTGTTTAGTGAATTATAAATGTAAACCTTTATTTGTCCTTGCATTAAATATTTGTCTTCGCATAAAAGCACAAGTCTACTAACAAAACTACTTTAAGAAAGTCTGGATGAACAAATAAAATGACTATAAAATAAAGGTAACACTTTTCAATAAGGTTCATCAAACATTAGCTAATATATTTACTGACGTAAACTAACATTGTGCAATACATTTGTTACAGTATTTATTCATCATTGTTAATTTTAGTTCATTTGTTCATTGCTATAGTTCATAGTGCATTAACTAATGTTACAACCTTTGATTTTAATAATGTATTAGTAGATGTTAAAATTCATATGAACTCAAATGAATAAATGCTGAAGAAGAATTGTTCCTAGTTCATGTTAACTAATGAACCTTATTGTAAAGTGTTAATAAAATAGAGTAATTTGACCTACCTTTCTCCCTTTCCAATACGGTTAGAAGAAAATAAATCACAAGGATGATATCTAGGAGTGGTATTGTTATCATCCACAATAATGTTATCCATCCTCTCTGGAGAACTGTGAATGAAAACATCACCTTCTGAATTCATAAACTTTCACAAGATCTGAACTCAAATCTGACGAGGATCCATTGAGAAGAGTCGACATGAAATCAAAATTTATGACACTATTTATGTTCTTTATTAATGTTATTGAATGGTGGACAATTTGTCTGTGTGTTTCTTAGTTTTTTTGTTTTTAACATTGGAATCTTAAGGAGAAATGCCATAACTTCATCTTCTCATGAGAGGATTCACTTTAAGACACTCACTATCAGATATGCCTCAATTCAGTTACACACACCGCTCACTCACAATATCAACAAACCAGTGGATGAAATCAAGTCCCAGATTTTTGTTGTTGTTTATTTTAGACGGCCGTTTCATAAAAAAAGGAAAAAAAGAAAAAAAATAGGGTTAGTATAATTAGTTCATGCTGACTTAAAATCATGTTGTTTTTTTTGCAAATATTATGAATTAAGCGTATATTTTTATATAAGAAATGTATTATCATTTAGTATCCAAAATCAAATTCATGCATATTATTCTGAGTTTTACTCTTTTCACATCTATACAAATACAATAATGTTTATCAGCATGTACTTACATTTGAATTTTGCTTGTAGACGAGGTAAAAGTGGTATACAGCGAAGCAGCAGTGCTGCAACCCATGGTACAACAAAAAGTGCTAAAATAAGAGAAAAAGTCTATTATTTTCCCATTGGAAAAAACAAAACAAAAAAAACAACAACAATGCAACAAAGATAGAAGATCTGAAACATAAATGGTAAAATCACTGAAATAAGAGTCTAGTGTTTTTTGGGGAGCTCTTCATTAACTTCATTCAGCATTTACTTTCACACACAGTTCTATGAGCTGAAATTGGCTGAATTATAATCAACTGGATTTTTACACACACAGACAAACAAAACAATGTAAACAGGAGGAATTTAAAACTACATGTTGCAAATAAATGTAATTATATATGAATATTTGAATCAGTATTTAGGCATTACCTGGAGAGGGAGATGCAAATGAGGAGAACAACTGGAACAATTGAAAAAAAGACAAGAAAAAAATCTCCAACCAAAGAGCTAAAAAAAGAGAGCAAAGCACACTCTAAAAAATGCTGTGTTGGCTTTAATTAACTTTTTTATGTCAACAGGTCCCATTTTTTCAATTAATCCAATTCTGTTTAGTTAATAAGGTTAAAAGTCTTAATTTTGCCCAAAACAATTAAGTTAATTAAGTTCAATTATCCTAAAAGGAATTTAAAGCAGCACTATGCAGTTTTTTTTTAGTACTCCACAGTACTAAACACAGCGACTCTAGGGTTCACAGTTTGACAAAAACTGAAATCCTGCATAGTGTGGCTTTAAGTCACCATTATGGAGATCAGTGTTTGCATTAGTTGGGCTCTTGACCCCTTGAATCATTAGCTTTAGATTTTGTTTGGCTGTTGTTTCTGAGCTGTAACTCTCAGATGAACAAAGAGAAAATTTGAACAGGTTGTGTGTTATGTTTTGACAATCATAGTTTGATTTGAATCACAAATCTCATTTAGAGAGTTATGTCTCCATTGTTGATTACAACAATACAGTGATTCTACAGCAAATAATTAAATGATCCAAAAATACTTCTTTAAAGTTGTTCTGATCAAAAGTCTTTGAAATTACTTTATTTAGGCACACTGACATCAATAATAAGTCTGTGCATCTCAACTATGGTGACAATAATGAAGCATGTTGCAGTGCATTCTGGGTGCCACCATATAAAACTCATTCATGGATCCCATCATGCATTGTGCAATGAATAAATTATGATCTGAATTGTCTTAGTAATTCCCTTTCCCTAATTGAATATTTTGTTTGTCACCATTGTTGAGATTCATACACTGATTCTTGATGTCTGTGTGTGCCCAAAAGAAACATTTGGTTTTATCAGAACAACTTTTAAGAAATCCTCTAGATTATTTAGACTATTCTGGATCCTATTCTGTAAAATAACAGTGATGATGGAATCAACAAAATACATTAAAGTCAGAGATTACACTCTAAATGAGTTCAGTGATTCAGGTTGAATTATGATTATGTCAAAGATAACCAACACCACCTGATCAACTTTTCTCTTTGTTCGTTCGAGTGTTATAACTCAGATACAACAGCCAAACTAAATCTAAAGTTAATAACTTAAGGGTCAAGAGCCCAACTAAAGCAAACACTGATCGCCATAACGGTGACTTAAAAAAAAGAGATTTTCTCCGTCAGTGATTCTGCTTGTTAACATCAGGTGTCTTCAATAATGACCAATCAACACTGACGAAGAAATTCTCATTGAACTTAATTAACTTAATTGTTTAGGACAAAATTAAGACTGTTAACCTTATTCAACTAAACAGCATTGGATTAATCTTATGTAATTAACTTAAGTTAATCCATGACATAAATAATAAATTACAGAAATCCAACATAACCTAGTAACATGGGACCCGTTGACATAAAAGAGTTAATTAAAGCCAACATAACATTTTTTAGAATGCATGAATGAAAGAATCAGTCACATTTCTATTCTCATGACACTTGAAATTCTTACAGTAGACACATAACACGTCCAATCATTAAGTACATTTAATTTTACTTAGTTAAATGTAACTTATTGCTTGGAAATGATCACAATAGCAATGCTCGAGCACATTTACAGTATGTTGTTCGTTTGAGTAGTAGAGCACCAATAATCGTGCAGATTTTAAATTTTGGATTATTCTTTTCTACCTTTGCATTTTTGTTCTTTATCAACACTCATATATAAAATGCTGTATTGAGAGCACATGATCAGCATTTTTTTTTTTGTGCTAATAGTATTTTGCAACTCTAATAACTCATATTGGGGTAAATCAATAAGAATGTGCTCACATAGAATTCGTATGATTGAGGAAACCCGTCTTGGCCGCTCCTGACTGCATAGCCTTCTGAGGTCCACTAAAACACAAACATTGACACACAGTTAGGCCTACAAGTTGAAAACTTGCCACTTATGTATTTGATTTTCATTATTGACAATTATAGAATAAACGTAAAATAAATGTATATGAACCAAACCATTGGTAATGAACTTAATAACCTAATAAATCAGTGCTTATACTTAGCCTGCCGCTTTAAAGTAAGGAATCAAATCATACAGGAACTCTTACTTCCACTCAGGGTGAGACACGACAGCAGAACTCCTCCAAAGCATAGTCCAGAAAATACACGACGTCCCCAGTCTGTATCATGTGCAGTCTTTCTCCAGCCATATGCAAAAAGAACTAGACGAATAGATACAAATGAAAATGTCACACAAGATAAATGATGTCCTGAGCAAGAACAGCAGATATCTAAACATATGTGGAGAACAAACACACTTAAATGAGGCCATAACATCACATGATCATGAAGGCAACAACAAAACATGCAGTGAATTATTACCTATAAAAAGCTGTAATTGTATTATTATGAACAATCTTTCAAACACTCCACATTTCAAACCCATAGTTTCTGTTGTCCTAAAGCAGCATATGCAGGACATGTTAATACAGATATCACTGAAATAGATGTTCTGAGAACTCAAAAAAGAAAGAAATCCTGGGATAGTAGAAAATATCTGTATTTTAATCACTTTGAGGATTCAGGGTTGGACGATGGGATTTTAGAAGAAGAGAGGGTGGAGTGAGATTTAATAGCTGAATTCTGGCCAAGTCTACTGAAGTTATCAAAACAAGTCATATTTCATAAAGCTTTATTAATGTCAGAATAATGAGCATGATGTGAAACATTAGGATTTACTCACCTGAATAAACAACGACTGTGAAAACAGTAAATTCACTGGTTATTCTGAAAAACCGGATCCATGTTTTAATGTCGTCTGTAGACAGAAAGAGTTGAACAAATCAAATCACGTCATTATAGAATATTATTACACATCCGTTTCATTGCTTGTACTCAGAGGTGGACAGTAACGAAGTACAGAGTACTGTACTTAAGTACACTTTTTGAGTATCTGTACTTGGGTATTATTTTTTCTGGAAACTTGCAGAGATGTATAGTAACGAAGTAGAACTACTCCACTACTGTACTTAAGTACTAAAAGGCTGTATCTGTACTCTACTAGACTATTGTTTTTTTTTTCTCATACTTTTACTTTTACTTCGATAATTTTTTTATGTTCTGCTAGTTACTCGTTACAATTATAAAAATATTACGAATCATTCCAAACCTGCATTATCGTTGGCTCTGTTATCAGGTTTGATGAAGTTTGCCTTCATGCTGCTTAAATCACATGCCCATTTTATAGGGTAATGGTATTGATTGACACACACATTGTCAACTAATGCAGGGGTCGTCCTGCAATGACATTTTTTGGCGGCCGCCAAAACAAATTTTTATCCCGCCAGAGGATAAAAATCCTCTTTGATTGCTAGTTCAAAGCAATCAAAGAGTTGTTTGATTGCTAGTTCAAACTTTTGACTGCTATCTTTAATAATTACATGACACAATACTTGTACTTTTACTTTTAGTACTTAAGTAGTGAATTTTAAAATAAACTACTAAGTACAATAACTGTTGAATACTTTAGTACTTCTACTTAAAGAGCACTTCAACTTCTAATCAAGTCACTTTTTTGATAGAGCACTTGTACTTTTACTCAAGTCCGGGTTTCTAGTACTTTATACATCTCTGGAAACTTGTTACTTTAACTTTTACGTGATTGTTTTTTTTTGCATCTGACAGCCAATCAGTGATCACTCCTGTAGGGTCACGTGTTGGGAAGTTTGATGATTTAGTACGATTTCTCTTTACTAGTGATCTGTGAGAGACTGTATCGTTGTCACAAGTTGTTTTGAAAGTTTTGTTTTCATGGCCAAGAAGTATTTATGTTTGTTACTGTTGGGTTCAGTTAAACCGTTATGGTTGTATAGCTATTTTTTTTTTTTTAACAATAAGAATAATAAAACTTCCTAACATACCTTGGAGATACTTTAAATAAGACAAAGCCCAAATCAACATGACAGGCCTCAGAATAAACAGAGCGCAGCAAGTGACGGTCTCATGGAGAAATCCTGGAACAGAATCAAATAAAAAAAAGTCCATTCACAACAACATTGGGACTAATAAAACAAGACTAATAAAATCTGCCACATTCTTTATAGTGCTATACGTATCTAAACTACTAAACTCACCTTCAGTGAGAGCCCAGAGGATGAAGGCGGAGAACATGCAGACATTTGGACAAAAGACCAGAGAAAGATGAAGATTCCAGATTGTTCTGCTGTTTTCTGGAGAGAAGATGAAGAATAAACACAGTTAAACGAGTGAAACACTTACACTGACACAATCACAAGAAATAAAAGGACTTTCCCTCCAATCACACCTGTGTTTTTAACTCTGCAGTAGATCAGACAACAGAGCAGAAGCACAGCTCCAAATCCAGCAACGAGACAGAAAAACAACACAGTTATGTGCCGAGAAGAGAAACCTGTGAAACACAGACATAATGTATAATTGCACTGAATCAATTATAATTAATATAATTATGAAGAATTTGCAATTAAAGTTTTTTAGGGAATTCGATTTAGCAAGCACTTATTTACATGAATGGCCAGAATTAACCCTCTTTTGTGTTAAAAACTACTGTCAGGATTGTACATATTGTAAGGTTTAACTTAGGAGCGCACGATATATCGGCCACCATATCGGTATCGGCCGATATTTGCTCATTTTTATGTTATCGTTATCGGCCTGATAATAAAATTTGGCTGATATATTACAGCTGATAAATAATGAATTATTTCCTTCAACACTTGACACCTGAGACACTTAAGATGCGCACTGTTCAACACGATTGATCTTAATTGCTTGAAATATGATTGGAATCAAAAAGGAAAATATAGTTAAGTGCAAAATGAGCCGTCATATCGGCTACATGAAATTATAATGAGAACATTGTAATTGTGTTAGGGGATGGATTTTAATTGTGAGACTTTTGTTTTTGCAATCAGGCTTTCAAAAATTATATAAAATTGGATTTAGATTTATCGGCCGATATATCGGTTATCGGCTTTCAAATATAAAGAATTATCGGTTATCAGTTTTGGCCAAAATGTTCACATCGGTGCATCCCTACTAGTTTAACTTGTCCTTTAAATACATATTATTGTATATTATCAATGTAAGTTATCTTTACAATATAAATAAATGAACAATTTGTATAATGTAGGCTGAAAATGAGCTTCCCCTCCTTGAAAGACCAGCAGCCGCCACTGGTCAGGATTTACTAGACATGCAGTAAACATTTGTGGGGATTACCTCCAGGAAAACATGTTGATTTTCCTGAAATGTGCATTTGAATAAGTTTGAAGGCCAAAAAACTGGTTACCAATAGATGTAAAAGCATGTCCGTGGGCAGTAGCATAAATCAAGCAGATTACAGATTCTTAAACATGAGAATAAGGTTGAATGCTGCAATGAATGGTCAACACTACCAACTGGAAGAGGCTAGTTTATGTTTACTGTTATTGATACTTGTAAAATATCACATTCTGGGAACATCTCTCTTTCAAACAGATTTTTGGGCCTGATGTTTAAACGGTGCGTAGGCACAAAGTGACCACTGAAATTATGTGTACACTGTAGAACATTGTCCCGCAAATTAATGGAAACATTCTGTCAATAACGTTGCCGGTAATTTACTGTTAATTGTACAGTTCTTTACTGTAATTAACACTAAATTTAAACTCAAGTTAACTCTGCCTCAAATTGACCAACTGGTGTTTAAATTTATTAACTAAAATGTACAATGCACTAATAATGTGAGCTAAAAAATACAGCAAGAGAATAGATCCAACAGATTATATATATATATATATATATATATATATATATATATACTGTATATATATACACACACATCATGCACCAAACAAACCAGAACTACATATTTATTTAATCACAGACACATACTCAAAAATTAGCATATGAACCTCAACAATGGTGACAATAAAAAAAGCATTCAGTTGCTTAATATATTAAGGCTGAGGTGCATGCTGGGAGTTTTGTATTATGCTGGTGTGACAGGGTTAGAATAATGCTACAGTAAATATTAAATGTAATGTAAAAAAAATACTTCTAGGAAATATGTATAATAATATATCAGTGAATCAGAAGTCCAAGACGGTTATGGCATCATCACAACAGCCAAAAACACCAGGGGCCTATATATATATATATATATATGGCACCCGTGTGTTTGGCATGCCGTATAAATGTTCTCATGTTTGCTTGTCAGGTTGTTTGCTGTGTCTGTAAACAGATGCCTAGTTTTACTATGAATGCCGCAGAACTTTACACTCCTATTGACGCTATTGATGGCATTGCTAATGCTATCTCACACTAATTTATCCTTTTAAATTAAATCTGGCCCCAAATGTATAAAAGGTAGATACTTTTCACACCAAGTGTGAAGCTAAAGTACAATCTTATTTACACAATAGCCTCTGAGGAAGGTTGGCTAGTGTTAACAGACTGCATTATTTATTTTGCCATGTTTTGTCGACTCACCCAGTCTCTCCAGTACCACAGTTGTATTGGCTGAAAGTCCTCCAGCAAACACATGACAGATGTAAACTCCTTTGTCCTCAGTTCTGACACTCTTCAGTCTGAGAGAGAAGTTTCCTTTGGGGATTTCATCAGTGAAGAACTCAACTCTGTCTCTGTATTGCAAATCTGATGAACCTGGAAAAACCTCATTCTTCTGGTAAAGCAGAACCGTAAAATCTTCATCTTCATCTGTTTTCCTCCATGAAACCTCGTCAATGTGTTCAGGTTTGATGTGAGAGTCGATAGAGCAGTTCAGAGTGACGTCATCACCCACATATGCCGATGTGGAGCGACTCGATCCTGATACCAGCAGACGCTCTGAAAGAATAATGGTTTAACATACACATAATACCACAAAAAGGCATTTTCAACAGAATTCAAGTGGCTTTCACTCACCAACATCTTTTATTTGAACCTCAGTCTCTCCTGAATCCTGCTGACTGTAAACTTTACATGTGTAATTTCCCTCATCTTCAGCTGTCAGATTGTCCAGACGGAGGGAGAAGTTTCCATGTTGAATCTGATCAGTAAAGAAATGAGCTCTGTCCTGATAATCCTGCTGCTGGACCTCTGGTCGACTCTCACCTTCTAGAAACAGATGAACCAGAGTCTCTGAGTCTGTTCTTCTCCACTTCACCTCCAGACCCTTCACTGGTAACAAAGGTTCATCAGTATAACAGGGCAAAACCAGTGAAGATCCCAGAGGAGCAACCAGAGGAGCAGATGGACCTCGCAAAGTGAAGCCTATAGAAAAATAACAGAGAAACTGATCGCTTTAATAAATGAGAAAGAAAAACTCGAAGGCTATTTTCGCGTTTCAACGTAAAGTTTTAATACGTACCATCAGCGACTACCAGGAGTATTGCTACTACAACAATAAACTTAATGTACATGGTTTACACACACAAAAGAGCAATAATAAAATCATAATTGTATCATGAACATGAGTTTTTGTCCGCAGTCTTTCACACGAGGCCCCGTCTTAAATTTCGCTTGCAGTTTACTTTCGCTTTCTAAAATTAGCGACGCGTCAGACCTGCTGCTCTAATCCAAAAACAAAAGTCACTTCTGTTGGCTCTTAGCTATTACCAAACTAAACATGGTAATCTACATTTAACCAGGAGTGTTTATTGCAAGTTTGCATAGTAAAAATACAGTTACATTGTAAAAAAAAAAAAAAAAAAAAAACCAATTTCTAACCCAAAACTGGCTTCCCAGATTGCAGTACAAGCTGTCCCACATTAGAAAATCCATAATTAACTGCTTAAAGCATAATCTTATTCGCATTTTATGAATACAGCATTTTAATAACAAATAAAAACAAAATATCTATATTAATAGTTTCGTATTTATTTTGCTAAAATAGCAGCAGACTTTTCTTCAAAGTGACTTTAAGCAATCTAGCCTATTTCTCAAAACTCATTAATGATTTTTTTTAATACTGGACGTAATTAAACGACGTTATTATGAGATTGTTTGAACCTTGTGTAGAGTTTTATTATTATATAATTAAATAAATCTGAAACGCTGGGGGGCAGCATAAACACATTTACTCTTCAGCCTCTTTAGTGTAAATAGCTATTTACACACGAGTATGTAGTCCCAGACTAAAATCCTTTATTGAGCTGTTTTAGCGAAAATCTACTTGCACTGGCGCATGTTTTGTGTTTCTGACTTATGGTAATTTTTCATCTCTGTTTTTTTTTTTAATTAGACAAATCTGATATTATTTCAATCTGAAGTTGTTAATAGTTACTTCATGTTATTTAACAGTTGATATTGTTCTTTGTTTCATTAACTAGCATAGACAGCCAGGTTTAAATCCCAGTTTGACTGTACACTGCGTCACAACATGCCCATACTAAAACTATTCTATTATGATTTCTATTGAGAAAACACAAGAAAAAGGTGAAGACTGAGAGTCAGAAATTATTAAGATGTTAAGAAATGTTCAGAAACAATGAATTATTATTATGCTTTGAACTATGCTGTATAGCGGTGTTTTGGTCTGTTAATAAATAATGTCAATCAATTGTCAATAAGTTGTCAATAAATAAATAAATAAATGCATATTTTAAATTATTAAAAACATATTTAATAAAACAAAATATTTTAGTTTGTCTTATATGTTAGGCTATATGAACATGTCAATGTATAGCATGCTGTAACAATAAGAAAAGAAAAAAAAAGCATACACTGAAAGAAACAAAAACATAGCCTACTAGACGTGTGAAATTAATGTGGGAAAAAGAAACTCACTGAACCCCAAGTGGATTTACATAAACTGAGAAAATCAAAGTGTAGGTTGTGCCCCGCTCTCGCACATCCCGTTAAATCCTGCAGGTATAGCCGCGACAAAAATAAAGGTTAAAGATCGTTGGTCTGAGCCCTGCCACAGCACCACAAACAAACAATCTATCTAAAATAAATAAATAAATAAACATTATTACAAGGAAGTAATGCTTCAGGAAGAGGAAATGCCAAAATAAACAAAAAGCAAAGCACCTGGGGGAATAAAACTCAACGAATTCAATGTCTGGACGCCAATTCATGTGTGAAAATTATTCTTCATTATTCTCCCAAAACACTCGTTTACAGTTTGAGCCTGATGAATATTGACATTGTCCTTCATATGGCCATTAAATGAAAGGTTACACACGCTGGATCGGATTACAAGACCTGATATAACGCTGAAAAAAACAATAATAACAAAAAAAAAAAAAAAAAAAAAAAACAGTAGCCTAATAATGATAGTCATTAAGCATGTGCCTAAATCCAAACAGCAACTTTTCTTATTTTTCCAGTGTAACTCAGAAAGTCCCCTTATCAGGATAATGTATTCTTATTTTGTAAAATCCAAATAAGATTTACAGATTTTTATTAGGAAGCATTTAAACAATGTTAGTATGAAGGAAATGTATGTACATTTTTAGAATAATTTCTGCATTAAACACAATAAGGCACGCCATCGCATTCGCGACTCTGATTAAAGGCGACGTAGCCTACTTCCGGTTTTCTTCCCACCGGAGCCATTTCAAAATGACGGCTGCGTGAAATCAGCGTATTGACCTGCTTTAGGAGGCTTGAGGACTGCAGATGTGAACAGAGCAATAAACTGCAATGCCTGTAATGTAAAAGGCCTATGACAACGGACAGCAGATCGTTCTTGATATGCCAAACCACATGTGTTCGAGAACTTGCAAGTGGTGGAAAGGTGGAGTAATCAAACTTAATATTATACACTTAAAGGAGAACTCTGGCGCAAAATTAAGCTTTGGTCTAATAAAACTTTGGTAACTAGTTAACCGTTCTCTGAGATTTGTTTTCATGATAATCGAATGTAAAGAGTTTTATCTCTAAAACTGTTTAGCGTATAACACTAGTAAATGGGGGCATATAATAAGTAAAAAGAAATCGCTAGTTTATACCTAGCCTGGGAAAACCCAGACAACTTCCGGCAAATTTAGATTTGCTCTGAAAGTTAGTCCGGCAAATAGCTCATTCAAGCCCATTTCCAATCCATCGAAATCGCGGCACCAATCAGAAACGTTGGGGCGGGCTTTGACGACAGCACTGGGACTTTGAAGCAGATTTTGTAGCCTACATTACAAAGATGGATGCTGCCGTCGAACATCACTCGTTTGAATCAGCTATCGCATCTGTTTTAAGCGATTTGAACATTTCCTTTTTGTTAAAAACCGAGCAACACTCTCATCTCATCATCATCTCCATCGCTCTGGGGTGCGTTTCCCGTACAACGACGTAGTTCACTGTTTCACTACCACAGTACGATGCATCTTTGGAAAAATCAACTAGCTAGTCACGACTGTTTAGCGAAACCCACTGTCGCAAAGTATCGTTCAACCACGTTGGTTTCGCACGTGGAGTAATGATAACTACTTTTAAAGTGTTTGTTCACCCAAAAATGAAAATTCTGTCAGTATTTACTCACCCTCATGTTTTTCCAACCCCGTAAGACCTTCGTTCATCTTCGGAACACAAATTAGTCGTTATTTTTGTCGTTTTTTGCGCACAAAAAGTGTTCTCGTCGTTTGATAAACTTAAGATTGAGCGACTGTAGTCACTTGGACTATTTTAACGATGTCTTTAATGACTTTTCGGGGACAGCAAGAGTCATTCCCTCAAGAAGCCTATGGACTGTATGCAGGAGCGATCTTAATATCTTAAATATCTTAATTTGTGTTCCGAAGATGAACGAAGGTCTTACGGGGTTGGAACAACATGAGGGTGAGTAAATACTGACAGAATTTTCATTTTTGGGTGAACTAACCCTTTAATGAAACTGTTTGAGATCCAATCAACGCTAGATTTGTTTTATATAAATTACAGGCATGTCATCTGAGGACTATTTCTAATTGTTCTCAGTTATTTTGCTTTATTACCAGACTCAATATTTGGCTCGTTCTTACATAGTAGAGCACGTTCGCACATGCGCACTCTTCAAACACGTTACTTCAAATCTTTTGAAAAACTAAAAGACGTAAATTACATTTGTATGTACTCTAAATAAAAGGCACCGGTTGTACTGAATGTCAGCTTGCTTATTTTTTTATTTTGCTCAAGATAACGATTTATTACCTCCAAATGTCATGCAATATAGAAACGATGCCTCTAACCACAGGTCGAGAGCTGTCGTTCAAACCACACAACTTTGCGATGCTGTTTGCGAATGTTCGTTGGAACGATGGTTTCGGGAAACACAGACTCGTTAAACTATGCAGATAACGACGGAACTTGCGACCATAGTTGGCTAACGATGCTTTCGGGAAACGCACCCCAGATTGTTTTTAGGTCTACCCGCGACGTCCGTTGGTGACGCCCCTCTGGAAATGATTTGTCTATGACGCTTTGCCAGACCATAACTCTGTTCTACCATAACTCCATAACTCTGGTCTAAGGGTCCCTGCATGCAAAACGAAGCATTGAGAACTTTGTAAGTGTACAGACCGTTTGATAAGAAGATACTTTATAAAGACAGTCCACTTCGGGTATACAGACAGGAGAAAACTCGACAAGTGGAACCACGAACGCTGTTCATACAGTTCAGAAGATCGCCAAACTTCATACAGTTCAGATCACTTGGCACGACGTTCGTAGTTTGACTTATCGAGACTGTTTTCCAAGATGGCTCCTGTCTGTATACACGAAGTGAACTGTCTTTATAAAGTATCTTCTTATCAAACGGTCTGTACACTTACAAAGTTCTCAATGCTTCGTTTTGCATGTATGGAGCCTCATTATGTTACTGTGTTAGTGTGGGGCTATTTTGAGCCTTGTTAGTGGTATAAACTAGCGATTTCGTTTTATTTAATAAATGCCCCCATATACTGGCATTATACGCTAAACATTTTTAGAGATAAAACTCTTTACATTTGATTATCATGAAAACAAATCTCAGAGAACGGTTGACTAGGTACCAAAGTTTTATTAGTTCTCCTTTAAAAGAGCGACTTCTCGACAATTTCATAAACTTTTGCTCTTCTAAGTTGAAGAAGCTTGTAGAGAAAGAAAGTGATTGAGCAGGACCTAAAAACTCTAAGTTATGACAGTCGTGCGAATCATCAAATTTTGTGCACGCATGTGGTTTCTACTTTCATTCCTCGAGTGTCTTATAAGGAGGGAATGTTTGACAGCTGTGCCTCACTTTACAAGCCTCTCCTCGTTTTACTTCTCTCCAGGTAAGCTTCTTAGAAAGTCTTGTAACTTTTTTCCAAAGTGGTATTTATTTCCTAAATAAATAAATCAATAATAGTCTCCGTCAATCAATGTCATACCTGCGTACCATGTTTTCCTCATATTAAAGAGGCTTTCTGTAAAAAGTGTCATGATAGCATTTGCTTGAGAACTTTTAAGCTATAAAGCAAAAGAGAGAAACTCCTAAACCCTAACAGCAGGTACGTTAATGTTAAAGCGGTCATATGATGTTGATTTAAAAGTGTTTACACATTACACTTACAGTATTTTTTCAACATTAGTGGAACATTTTCATAAACTATGAAGTTAATGGGGAGG